CCACTGAATCAAGAACGTTGGAGACATTGTCCAACGCGCCTGCCTCCGCGACTCGAGATGATAAGCGATCATCGAAAATGACTGACGAAATCGACTGAGCTCGGAGGAAAATTTAGCTTAACGGTGAAGTTCCATTGCCCTTTAGTAGACAACAATCGTATCTACAGGTTGTACAGATTCAAACTCAGAATGATGGTCGAGGTTCTGAACTGTCATTTTAATTAACGCAGATACCTGCAGATCGATGCTATCGAAAGCAAGTTCCACATCAACAACAAACTTCGCGCCCGGCTCCGACGATTAGTTATATTACACATCATTTCGCGTCACCTCTTTAAATCAAGTGCTATCCAGGCGGCGTGACTGATATACACCTCTTCGCTTCTGGGTGTCATCCGTCTAACGTAATCCAGAACTTTCGTTTGACGCAGTGCCAACGGTATAACTTTAGCTTTCTGATACGCAGTGACGCTGCATGCAAGCAGTAGGAACAAAGATTGAACACTGCTCACCTAGGCGTTTACTTATTGGTAACTACCTTCAAGTTCGATAATAATAACTTGGACATTTCCCTTCAGCCGTTTGACAGCATTGACGTTCGAAGAGAACAGTGATGACCACTGAGCAAAGAATGGCCCAAGGTAAACACGGTAAACAACGACAGTCAACGGACAGACAGCTGTGCTATGACGACTGAATGACCGGCTGACTTTAGCAGTCGTTCCGCACCGAACCGTTCATTCGTTAGGAGACGCAATTTGCAACAACGAATCCAGGTATGACTTTCAGAAACAGAAATCATTAGCACATAACTACCGACATTCGTTTGCATTAAGTCTTCCTATGTCAACTGTTCGCTGCAGAAGTTCAACCAAACTGCATACTTCAGTGCAATCGCTACAAATAGGCCAGTTTATGTGCAGTTACGGAGGCAATCGGCGCTGCAGCTAAGCTAGAACATCTCCGAAACGGTACTTCAAAATCACAAAGTGCTTCGGTCGCTTTCAACTGACATGCACGGATTTGTCTCCTTATTACTCCCATCATTCAGAGTCAACGTTCGATTGCGGGAAAATAAGTAATGACTAAAGTGAGGGATAGCGCTGGGCGAGGGAGCGGAGTGTTCTTCACCTGAAATGATCCTTGTATCTGTCCGCTAGAAGGACAACATCAAACGACGAATGAGAGCGATGATCATGCCTGTAAGAGACTAATCCGGTCCAAAACCGTTATGGAAAGACTGAGGTCCAGCGTTCGCGTTAATCCCGATGGTCGCATGACAACAACTTTCCGTAGTGCCATCATACTATTGACAAATGATGCGATTTAGATAAAGCAAGCGGAAAAGGAAACTCAGACGAGAAACGAATGATGACACTACAATCGAAAATGGAAAAAATTAAAATGGTTCATGTCCGTAAGGCCGTATAAGTAGCAAGTAAGGCAGGAGTCCATGACGCAATGGGTTAGTAATTTGCTTTACACTTTAGAGTGGGAAGGGCGGGTTCAAATCCCACACAGGGCGAACATTTCCTCTTATTAACTGCTAATTCCCTTGAGCAAGGAATTCATGCCACTGTGGTTCGATGCAATCAGCCGAAAAATGAGTGGCAGGTCGCTGGCTGACCTGCTCATAATAAGGAAAGCATGGTGCTTTGGCAAGGTGATGCAAAAGTATGCGAGTCACGCGGCCGTACTGTATAAGACGTGCATCTCCCGGCTGCAATACGCCGTGATCTTCCGCTCAGCTGACTAAAAATCAACACAAGGTGTAAATGTAGCTTTATTTATTTTGCTTACTGATTATAATGACGTGAAAAGACGGGAAGGATGATAACGCTACCATAGATGTTGTATCGGATGGGCTAAATTCGAACGGAGAAACAACCAGGCCTTAATTCTAAGATATGCATTTCGATCGGACATCAGATATCACATGCTGCATATGCGCGATACATTAAAACAGAGTAATGATGACGGTTTACTGACATTTTGATTCCTAAGCAATAAGCAATATCAAAAGTTACAGAGCTGAACGAATCAACGGGTGATTAGGTAAAGAACATACTGGCTAAGAGAGTTCGTGCGACATGAACTAAAATGTTGGCACCTAAAGTGTCGCCCTGTCAGATCGTTAGTATCAGGTTAATAATCACAATTCACCTTATCGGTCGGTACGAGTCATTGCATCCGTCCCCTGGTCAGGATTTCATAGTATTTTCGCAATGGAAGGGTATCAAGGCAACCCGCTCCTTCTAGAATGTGGGAAGAATAGCATAGAGAAATGACCTGTTTTAATGCATCTCCACACGTTTGTGAGGCGTATAAGTGCAACATTGAAGTACAGTAACATCAAGCAAAGCGAGAGCGTGCTTATCAATACATACCCGCCTTTCCAGCTTACTGATTTGAGGTTGTTCTAATGACACACCAAACCGGCTTATAAGGAGAAGGCCTTAGAACGAATTGACACCGCACAAAACAAAGAAAGCATAGTGTTGGCAGTTTCCTAGCAAACCCGTAATAGCGGAGTCAGTTGTTATTAAACATGACTACGGATCACGAAAAGATACATAAATCTGATCGCCAGGATTTACAAGTCTACAACTGCTACTGTGAAGCTCCACAAAAGCACAACCGAGGTCAACGTAGTGGCAGGGCAATTTCACCGAAGTTATTCACAGCAGCCATGGAAGAGATTTTCAAGACATTCCGTCGGGAAGGTCAGGGCTGAGAATAAATGGACAGGACAGTACTTAAGCCACCCGCGGTTTGTCGATGATATTCTCATCTTCTCATGGTCATCAGATAAATCACTCCAAGGCAGAATCCAAGAGCTGGACGAAATAGGCGTGAAAGCAAGACTGAAAATGAACTTGCAAATTCAGATCATGTTCTACAAATACGTGATCGC